CACGGCATTAAGGGCGTTCTCTCTCTCTCTCTCTCTCTCTCTCTCAGGGGGAGGGGGAGAGGAGTATGGTGGGCGAGGGGCGGCGCGGCGAGTCAGCGGGTTTCCGAGTCGTCGTCATCGAGTCGCCTGGAAATAGCTTTGGCAACGAGAGAAGAACCGAGAGAAGGCGGCCGTCTTGCTTCGTGAGATCGCTAACGTGTTGCTTTTTCAAACCGCCCCGCCCCCCGCCCCGGCCAATATAGATCATACCGCTAACGATTCCTATTACAGCTGTCGTTCACCACGTAATAACCGAGACTTTGTTGAATTTCGTGGGTTGGTCGAATGGGTTCTCGTTTGTGGATTCGATTTCGTATCGCGTGTCTATTTGAGAATCGTGTGTGATTTTTCGATGGATGGTTTCTTTTTTTTTTTAATTCGTATCGAATAATGTCGAAGCGAGTCGATTTCGAACGAGTCGGGTCGAGAAGTCGTGTTCGTTAATGATTTTGAATCGATCATTCGTAATATATATAGTTGGAATCAAGAATGAAAGTTGATTATGAGACGTTGAAATCGGGGTTACAGTCGATTCGATGGAAAGGAATCGAATTAAAACTCGTAGGCGTTGCATTATTATTATTATCATTATTATTAAACGAGCAGAGCAAACTCGAATGAAGAAGAAAAAATGTCTCCACACCTTGTTTCTTTCCCAAATAAAATGCCAGGATCAAGAGATTCAAAATGACGTGAAGAAAAAATAAAGAGGATCGTTGAGGAGTAAGTATCGGCTGTTTCCCAAACGAGGGACGATAATCGAGGATCAGGGTGTAATCGAGGGGTGTATCATAAGTGGCGGTGGCAATTAGTATCCTCGCGCTGCAGCCATCGTCAGCAGCCTCGGATTCTAAAGTGCCGTTTTCGCGACTCTATCTCGTCTCGAGGAACTAATTCGACGAAAACCATAAGAACGGACGTTTGGCTACATCCCACGGCATTAAGGGCGTTCTCTCTCTCTCTCTCTCTCTCTCTCTCAGGGGGAGGGGGAGAGGAGTATGGTGGGCGAGGGGCGGCGCGGCGAGTCAGCGGGTTTCCGAGTCGTCGTCATCGAGTCGCCTGGAAATAGCTTTGGCAACGAGAGAAGAACCGAGAGAAGGCGGCCGTCTTGCTTCGTGAGATCGCTAACGTGTTGCTTTTTCAAACCGCCCCGCCCCCCGCCCCGGCCAATATAGATCATACCGCTAACGATTCCTATTACAGCTGTCGTTCACCACGTAATAACCGAGACTTTGTTGAATTTCGTGGGTTGGTCGAATGGGTTCTCGTTTGTGGATTCGATTTCGTATCGCGTGTCTATTTGAGAATCGTGTGTGATTTTTCGATGGATGGTTCTTTTTTTTTTTAATTCGTATCGAATAATGTCGAAGCGAGTCGATTTCGAACGAGTCGGGTCGAGAAGTCGTGTTCGTTAATGATTTTGAATCGATCATTCGTAATATATATAGTTGGAATCAAGAATGAAAGTTGATTATGAGACGTTGAAATCGGGGTTACAGTCGATTCGATGGAAAGGAATCGAATTAAAACTCGTAGGCGTTGCATAAACCGTGGATCAAGCGAAAGATTTTGGATATTTTTATCGTATCGGATAAAATAATGCATCCCTTTATTATTCGAATACTCCACGCGCTACGTTTGAATCCCGTCTCTTACGAAAGTTAAGGGATAATTAATCACCTTGCTGCTAGGTAATTAATTAATGTTCAATTTAATGGAAAGGTTGTAATTAGTCGAAGCGCAAAACGAAATTTATAGAATGTATTTACGTAAGAAATAATTAGGTGCGTCCGCGTGGAAAATGAGGTAATTGATCCACATCCGTTGATCCACGCACATTTTAAAAAAAAAATGATAACGATTAATCCGATTCGTGAATTCGAGTTTCGTAATCGGATAATTATTCCCTTTCGGTCGTTGGATTCTTGGATCAGAATGATTTGTTTCATTTTGCTCGATGTTCATTCTTTTTTTTTTTTTTTTTTTCGTTTCGAACATTGTCGAGTCAACTGTTTCACCACGCCCTCCCTCATCATCAATCGTCAATCGTATTACAAACAACAATCGTCCAAAAGGACGTATGAAAATTCTATCTTTTTTCTATCTTATATTTTTACCTTCGTTCATTATGCGAAACTCGCGGTTTCGAGTTATTTTTCATCACCTCAAAACGAACTCCATCCTTTCTTTCATGTCCAGGTGGATGGTCGTGCGAGATTTTTTTTTTTTTTTTTTCTATTCTGGACGCGTGCGCGTTGCAAAAACACGGAATTTCGTTAAGTATCACTATTTTGAAACTGTACATCCATTAAAAACATCGCGTCAACAATGGTCCAAAACCCGTGGATTCTCGTTGTCCACTCAGTGATTTTCCTTTTCCCTTTTTCCTCGAAATTTCTCTTTTCTTCTTTTTTTTTCCCTCCCCTTTTTTTCTCTAGTAATTAACTCGAAAATGCTAACACCGTGGAATACGATGCGCATAACGGTATCGTAAGGTCGGCACTTTTTTAATTTCTTTCCTGTTTTTCTTTCTTTCTTTTTTTTTTCTTTTCACCCTCTTTTTAAATCACACGTGTACATCCCGCTTGTTTAAAATTTTTAGTCATCAGGATATGATTTTACGTTGACGTGTATTAAAATCGAATGCATCGTTCGGCGATGAGAGGAAGAGAGAGAGAGAATAATCGATGGAAAATCGAGAAGGAAAAAGAGAAACGTGTGATGATCGAATCTTCGATGGATATCGAAGATTCGTAATATGAATCAATTTCAAGGATGAAATTGCTTCAGAAACTGTTCAGAAGAAATTGCGCTCCTTGTTAATAATGAACGCAAATATTTTTGTTATTATAAAGAAATAGATTTAACTGTTTCATAATTTAAATTAGATCGCTGTATAATTGCTTGCCGAGAAAGGGAACAAATTATCTGTACTGTATAAATAAAAAATGAGATAGAAAGATAATTTTATATCATCATATGTATAACGTGAATTGATTATCGAATATTACGTTTTGAATTCGTTACGAATAACGAAAAAAGCTTGTCGAGACATACGTAATTATCAAGCCTTTGACAGATCCGTTTCGCAAGTTTAACGTTTAAATTTGTGAAACCGAATAATTTCTAATCAAACGTTTGATCAGAGTATAAAGCAAGGATAATTATAGCGGTGGTCGTTTTGTTTCCTTTATTTCGTTTTCGTGTAACGTTTGATACACAACGTGACGTGGCCTGTTTGTATTCCTTTCAGCTTCCGGATAGTTTGATCGTGTTTGATCGAATGGAAAGGGAAACTGTAGAGAGTGAAATGGGACAGAATATGGTAAAAAAAAATAATAAATAACTTTATCGAGCTTTTATCGTTTTAAAAATCGTTTGTCAAGATAGAGGAATTCGTTATTGATAGATATTACAGTATTGGAAAGAACAACATCGTGGAATATACATGTTAAAAAAATTTGTAAAAATTTTATGAATAACAGATACAATTGTCGAAAAATGAAAAGAAAAATGGAAAGTTTTGTTCACAAGTTTTACGAGTTTTATTTAATATTATACAATTTCTTGCGTATAATTCGAAGGATAGAGTTTTTCTTCGAGCACGTTGGAACGAATTTGTTATTTAATCGAGGGGAATGCTGGTAGATTAATCGTGGTTTGACGACGGTTCTGGTAGCGATCGTTTATAATGGGTATCCGATAGATCGAAAGTTTGCCGTATCAATCTGTCTTAACCACGTGCTCGACACGATTAGGCTAATCATTCATCTCCATCATGATTCATAAGTGTTTTCGTAATTTCGCGTCTAATGGATCAAGCACGAGCTAATTATTATTAACCTCTCTTAAGAAAATCACGATTTGAGCTAGTGTTTGTTCAAATTTTATTCAAATTCAATCGGTCCACTTAAATCTTCTCTACTAAATACAATCGAGCTTTAAAAATTTAAAACTCAATCCCCGCGAAAATTGCCGTTTACTCTGAAAACAACTTCGAACGTGAACAAAAAAAAAAAAAATCCCCCTCTTGTCCCTCTCTCCATCTTCGCTCCACTCGATCGAGATTTTCGAGAATCCGACTCGAAACACCTGTTACAAAAATTTCTCCATCGAGGCAAAAAATCCCACGAGGCAAAACGAAACGTCTCATTATCCACCTCCTCCCCTCCACTAGCCTCCTGTCAACGCGAAAAAATTATAAAACAGGGACAAAAGAGAGTGGAGTGGAGGAAGGAAGAGGGAGGGTGAAGAAGAAGCCCCAAGGGGGCGAGGAGAGGGGTCTTTGCCACGAGAAGAGCAGCACGTGTCGAGCTCGATTCCGATACCTCGCTGCTCCCTTTTCACATCCACGTTTCTTTTCCACCGCCTCGTTAACCTTGCGCTACAGAAACGACACGGGCAACAGGCGGTTTTCTTCCCGCCGCTTCGTTAGACACCTGGCCTATGGATGAACGCGCGGAATAATTGAGAGAGGGGGAGGATCGCTTTAACGCGAATTCTTAATTACGATCCTGTGAATACACGCGGTGGATGTCATTGAGAGAGAGGAAGGGGAAAAAGAAAAGTGGAAGAGGAGGGAAGGAAAGAAAGGCGAGACCTGGTTTCACCTCGTTGAAGTTTCACCGCCCTGGAGGAAGGGGGGGGGGGTGAGGTGTCTCGACACCTCCCAAGGATATTTATATAACCCAATTTTCGAACCCGATGGTAAATAGAGGAGGGGAGGGGAGGTGTGTAGGCCACCCTGTCCCTTTCATCCCCCTGTTGTTCGAAAATATTTGCCCGGACAAACACAACCAGACGGTTTCCCATTAACCGGTGCGCCGGGGAGTGGGGATGGAGAGTGAAAGGAAAAAAGGAAAAAGAGAAAGAAAGAAGGGAAGGAAGAAAAAGGGAGGGGGGGGGAGGAAAAAAAGGAGAACGAAAAAAAAAGTGGAACTAGTCTTTTTTTTCTCTTTCAGCCGGAAAGCTTACGGCGCGTTGCAGTGGGAATTTTAAACTGCTGCCCCGGCTGCCCGTTCGAGTGGGCTGGACTTTAGAGCTGGAGGATATACATGGTGAAAGTTTTGGTGAGTGATCGTTGAATTCTTTTTTTCCTTTTTTTTTTTTTTTTGTCTCCTCTTTTCGCCCAACGTATTTTGGAATAATAGTATGTTTGTAATCTTTCCATTCTTTCTGTTTATTCGTTTGTTTATTTATTCTTGAATGAACGTATACGAATTGCATACGTTCTGTGAATGTTTATAATTTTCGATTTATTCGTTTTCACGAACGAATCTTTTCCTATTCTGGAATTTCAATGGGATCACTTTTTACGTGTATCCTTTGCCCCTATATCTAAGTGATACTAACGAAACAAAGACGTTCATTGCTCGAGAAACGATCGATACGTCGTAAAAATTCGACGAGAGCAATAATCCCCTCCCTCCTCCCTATTCGCCTCTGAATTTCCCTCGAATTTCGATCGTTGGCCGCAATTTTCTCCTCCTGCCACGATTCTTCCCCGATCCTCAGAGCGCGGGGAGTGGTGGCCTTCCTGTTTACGTGCAAATTTTACGCGTGCATCTCCCTTATCCCCGGCTGCTCCCGTTTCCAAAGTGCGGGTCGCTTGCTCGCGGTTGAAATGCGTGCCACGGAAACGTTGCTACACTTTTGCCACGAGCAAGCGTTGGTGTTTGGCGGGGGAAACACGCCCAATTCTCCTCCCTCTCTCTCCCTCTTAATGCCGCGCACAATGCACGGTTGCCGTTGTCGGGTGAATTTCGCGACTCTCTCGAGTATATCGGTGGCAAACGAACCGTTTCCCAACGAATGTTTCAAAATTACGAATAAAGCTAAGCGCGCTTCGAGCCCCAGGTTTACCCAGCCGTGGAAAGATGGCGCGGAGAACTCCGTCCCGATCCGTTGAACCGGTTCTAGGGGAATTTTAGGGGATTAGGGGAATTGGGCTGGTTGGATAAGCAGATCGTTCCTGCTGTCTCGATCCCCGAAAGAGTTTCGAGTTTGGCGGTTTAAGGGTTTATTTTCGAAACACGATGTTTCTTTTATAACGTAACTGTTGCGATCGTAACTTGGAGGAGTTGGAATTAAAATTGGGATTCTTTTCCGTCGGTTCATTGCCGATCTCGCGAAAGAGTGACTTTAATAAATTTTTAATTAACATTCGTTAAAATTGATTACAGATGATTATTTTCGTTGTGTGTGTGTGTGTGTGTGTGTGTGTATAAGGAACAAAAATAAAGATCAGAGACGCGTATAATCGTCGAAACAGTTGGTAAAAGAGTGGGAAAATTTGGCAAACGAGTATCTATCCGTGTATTTTTTACAAATTTAATCAACGAATCGTAACCGGTTCGATCGAGAAGTGGCGCGTTTAATGCGAATAAATATTAAACGAGCGGTATCGTCGTTTCTTCACAGCCCGTAGGACATATCCGGAATATTATGAATATTCATTAAGCGTATAAGCGGTGATAAAAATCGAGCCGAGTATGAAAATGAAAAATTATCCCTCGTATAAATATGGATGGCTTGTGTTAATTGTTTGAAGGAAGCGGGAAGAAGAGCACGTGCGTGCGAGGCTATGATTCGCTTCTTTCCTTTTTTTCTTTTTTTTTTATTTTTTTTTTTTTTTTTCTTCCAGACAGTTTTTATCGAGATTTTTTCGCGTGCCAAAGCTAGCGGAAAACAGCACTTTCGCCGATGGAAAATTCATTTGCATAACGTGGATCGATTGGCGTGGAAAATAAAATTAATCCTTTTCAAATATTGATCGTCCACGAACATTTGGAAATATTTTCAACTGTGAAATTCATTTTCGATCTATCAATCTCCGAACATTCGAAATAATAACCGATCTCGAATCTCTATAAACCTCGGTCGGTTCGAAACACTTTGAAAACAATTAATTATTCCACCAAAATATCCTTTCTCTTCGAAGAATATCTCTCTTGATATCCCCCCAATCAAATCCTTCTCCCCCCTAAAAAAAAAATCTACAAAAATCTCAACCGATCCCATAATCCTCGATCGATTTTCTTAATATCCCATGCCATACCCTTGATCCGATCCTTGAAGAAGAAATCTACCAAAAAACTTATCACCGTCAACTTCCAGCATCCAATTCGAATCGTTCGAGATGAAATCGTCTTCGCCGAACGAACTCGAAACACCTTTCAACCGATTCTCAAAGTGCCTCTTATATATATATATATATATACACACACATCAAGGATCCGTCAGAATCGTGGATCCATCGAATCGTAGTGGCGCGAGAATAAGAAAAAAAAAAAAAAAAAATAATCGATAGGCGCGAATCGAATACCGAAGCCGACAAAGGAACCGAAATTCTATACCGTGGAAAAATCCAGCCGTGTTCTCCCGGCCGTGAATCGAGTTATCGTTAGTCCGAGGGGTAATGGCTATTCGTCAGCTAGCGCGGAATTGCTTCTCGAAAATGGAGTGGTTGGTTATAACGCGTTATATCGGGTCTAGGCGCGATTTGAAAGTCAAATACCCGCGTGGAAGACGAAAGGGGTTCGTTCCACCGTTTCAATCAGGCAGACAGGAAGGGAGGGAGAGGGGGGAGAGTGAGGGAGAGAGAGAGAGAGAGAGAGACCGGACCCG